GAATCACCACTCCAGCTATTACGATGTTGGAAGATTATGGGAGTGGATAGAATAGCTACAAAAATAATGCCAGCAACAGAAAAGTTAGTAAAAGTTCTAACCAAACAATGTCAGCAAATCTGGAGAACACCACCATGGTTAACAAATTGGAAGGTCAATTATTAAAGAGTAAGAAAAATGACCTTGATGGAAATATTAAAAATGACCTATGCAAAGGGGACTGAACCACTTTTTTTAGCTGCAGAGAAAGGAGATAATATTCAGAACCAACTCAAGCAGATGCCTCCCTCATTCCAGACCTGTATACTGCAAGAGTCAAAAAGAGAGCTGTGAAAATATTTACAGACCACTCGCATCCTGGACATAAACTCTTTCAACTCCTACCCTCAAAACGACGCTATAGAGCACTGCACACCAGAACAACTAGACACAAGAACAGTTTTTCCCAAACGCCATCATTCTGCTAAACAAATAATTCCCTCAACACTGTCAAACTATTCACTAAGTCTGCATTACTATTATTAATCTTCTCATCATTCCTATCACCCACCTCCTCCCATTTATGACTGCAACTTGTTGCTGTATCCTTACAATTTATATTGATAGTTTCCTAATATGATTTGATTGCTTATTTGTTCCCTATGACTATCATTAAGTGTTGTACATTATGATTCTTGATGAACATATCTTTTCTTTTATTTCCACTGAGAGCGTATGCACCAAGACAAATTCCTTGTGTGTCCAATCACACTTGGCCAATAAAAAATTCTATTCTATTCTATTCATCCTAATATAAGTTTATCTCACAATCAGACCTGCAGGATTCTGTTATTACAGCCTACATCAATAAAGTAGTAGTCTTCCTATGGAGAGGATTTCCAGAACTGGTTTCACCTGGGAGAAACTGACATCACTACACCTATCAGTATACCACCCCACACACCCCAAAAAGCCATAACGATTACAAATACAACATCCTTAATTCCACAAGCTAGCAAAATAATGCTTAGGACCACCCAAAGGCTGAGATGATGAAACTGGAAAGGAAGATGCCAGATGTCCAACCAGATGTTAGAAAAGGCATTATGGCAACGGAGAAAGCCAAAAGAACATCCAAAGGAAGTCACTGTGGGCTTTGCCGCCTCTACAAAGGCCTCCGATTGTACTGATCACGTTAAACTATGGAAAGTGCTCAGGAAAATGGAAGTTCATTCCAATTATCCTCATGGACACCTCTCTACAGATCAGAAGATGGCGGACTAGATGACCTCCAAGATCCCTTCAAACTCTGTTGCTGTTAAACCGACTTGGCACCAGATTGGCCAAGAGTGAGACGAAGCTGTATTCTCTTTCTTTATATACTTATTTTTGTACCCAGTAACTCCTCAACCGCAGGATTGTCGTCGTGTCCCGTCCCCCCCCCCCACCAACCTTGGGATCCGCCGGCCTGTATTTTGAACCCCGCGCTCGTTCCTGTTGCGTTGTTCTCCCCTCCTTCTCTCCAAACTCACCGTGCGGGCTTTCCGATCGGCGGGTGGATCCCCGGTGGCCGGTCCGAGGGATCGATTTTCCACCGAGCGCTTCCTCCGAGACGAAGTCGGGGTTCTCAAAGTGAGAAACTCCGAGCTCGATTCCATCGTTTCGTAGAGAGACTGCGGGGATCTCGAAGAGGCTCCGCCACGAGGATCGGGTCGGCCAGAGCCGCCCGAACCGCTACGGAGCACCACCATCGCGCCCGCCTTCCCCTCAACTGCCTCTGAATTCTGGCGCCACAACCCCGAGCGCCATCTCGTCACCAACCGTCCCCGGATCCTTCCGCCGTTCCGTCCTTTTTTTTTTTTTCCCCTGCGGGGTTAATTTTCATCCAAGCCGCCGCTCAGCGATCCGTCCCGATTCAGAGGCCTGGGACTGCCTTCTGCTGACGAGGTTACGCTCGGCGGGATGACTTCTATTTCGGTGGTAGTTTTTCTCCCCCCACACACGTTAAATAGATCCACTGCCGCGGAAGGACACGGCGCGGGTACTGCGCCTAAAAGTTTTTGGCGCGTGGCAACTTGGAGTGCGGCTTGTTTTCCTTCCCTCTGATTGGTCGCCCGCTGTGGCGCGCGGCGGTTTGCTGCTCCTGCCCGCGAGGCGCTCAAATAGAAAACGTTTAAAACTTGCACGACTCTTTTGAGAAAGGCGCGATTTCTGTATCAACGCACCCAGCTCACTCTATGCTTGGAAACTCCTTGAAATTCACACGTATGCGTCCTCTAAGAATACCTATGAAGTTGCAGTTGTATGTGATGTGCTCCCAATGGCAAGACAAAAACAACGCCACTGTTCTGATGGAAACAATCCTATGCAAACCGGATTAAAGCTTGTAGTAAGCCACCCTCCAACCTAGATTTCAAAACCCTATGCACTGCAATCTCCTGCCCGCGGAGCTAATCGGAATATATCAATGACCATTCTGCGCTCTTTTTGCCATATAAAACAGAAAGGGATCAGCAACGATGCCTTTTTAAGCGCGGTTCTAAGCGCCTAAATGCTTTAAGCCGTTTTCCTCGGCACTCCCAAAATGGAAGAAAAAGAATCGCATTTCCCATATAATTTTGCTTCTGTTCGAGGAGCAGAAGGGAGAGAATGCAAACGAAAGGTGCCAAGACAGTTTACATCTGGAAAAAGAACCGTTCTGGCTTTTAAAAAAAAATCCAGCTGCAAAAATAAAATCACTCTTAGTCCTTCTTTTGCCTTCTCTAAAGATACTCCTGTGGTGCTTTCCTGTGAGGAATCACTGACCATTTTAACCTATTCTTTTTAACAATTGCACCGAGATTATAATCAGATGGAGGATCAACTCTTTTATATAAGGAGGCCCCACTTCCCTATTAGCCTGTGAAGTCAAAATAATTTTGCTTCTTGGTAGTACAGCGGAACTGCACACTGCTGAATCGGACTAGGTGGCCCATGAGAGTTAATTTTCTGCTAAAGATAAACCAGCTCCTCTCCAAATATACAACAGCTTTATAGTTCCACCATTGGATCCCTTGGTCACTGGGATTACTACACCTCCTTACTGCTCCTATGGAGCCAAGTACAGCTTGCATCCAAGGGTCTCACAATGTATGGAATTGGGACTAACGCGGAATAGGCCCTGACATGTGTCCCTTTAAGCAAAGTGGCATCCTCTTAATTTTATTCCCTAACCAAGCAATCCTCCCACAGCAGTTAAAAATAATTGAAAAGGTTTTCTTACGGAAGAGACGTTGGTGGAGCCAGGAACGCTGATTCCCAAATGAACAGTTTTTCTTAATCCGATCAGAAAGCTGACTCTTCTCTACAACCCCAGGAAGAGCTTTATTCTCTTTCAGGCAACAGGCGGGACTTGGCTAATCACTTTACCATCCTGCCAGGAAAGGCTTCACCTGTTTGATTTCTACCTACCTGGCTGTTGTTAAAGACACAGAAGCAATGCCCTGCTTAAGTACTACTTAAAAGGAGGAATTACATGGCTTATTTACATGATGCACTAATAGTAACAGCAGCAAATATTTATTTGGGGTTGTAACCTGTTTCCCCTAAAATAAGACACCCCTTGATAATAAGACCAATCAGGCTTTTGAGCATGCGCTAAAATAACCCCCCCCCAATATGTAAACACATGTACAGCCGGTCCCCGCCATTTCCTCTGGTTAGGGTTAGGGAGACAGAGCTGGAAATAAGGTAAAATGGCAAGACGAGCCCCATCTTGCTCCATGCGCCCCAAAATAATAAGATATCCCCGAAAATAACGCCAAGCACTTATTTTGGGGTTCAAAAAAATATAAGGGTTTTATTTTCGGGGAAACACAGTATTTTACACATTTATCTTTTTAGGTTCTCCTGAAAATAAAAAGCCCTTTTCCATTTTATTTTCCAAGGTGATAAGTTATCGAATATAACGAATTATTAAACTACCCGTATATCGTACAACTTGCAACAACTGTGGATGGCTAACAATCAAATTATAAAACTATAGAACATAGAGGTAAAAGCTGGCAAGCATGAAAAAGCAAGGGATCTCACTCTCTTCTACCTTTCCCAGCTTTAGATCTGTTTCCAGAGAGCTGGATCTTGGCATAAAGTATCTATTCCAAGAAAGATAATTGGGGCCTGGTCATTTGTGCCTCCAGACTCTGGTTGAACTGTTCAACAATCCATTGGCTGTCCACAAAATGCTATTCAGAAGTATTTCTGAGACTTTATTCCTAGGCAAGTGTAAAATAAACATCTCCGCCTTAGCATCCTTATGTGTCTGAAGGACAACTCCCAGGCTTTTCAGTAGCCTAAAAACCATTGATTGCAAATTGTAGTTCCAATACACTTAGAAGGGAATGGATTTAGAGGTCTGATGTTTATGCTTATAACTTTAGCCAGGGACACATGACTAGAGAGACATGTTGAAACCAGACCCTCCTTTACTTAAAGTGCAATGAGCACTTCTAAACAATGTTGCAGAAAAATGGGAGGGGAGGGGAGGGGGAAATCAGGCTCCATAGAATGAATGAGCTGGAAGGGACCTTTGAGGTCTTCTAGTCCAGCCCCCTGCTCAAGCAGGAGATCCTATACTATTTCAGATAAATGACTGTCTACTCTAGACTCTTCTTAAAAACATCCAGTGATGGGAGCGCCCACGATTTCTGGAGGCAAGTTGTTCCACTGGTTAATTGTCCTCACTGCTAGGAAGTTTCTCCTTAATTCCAGGTGGCTTCTCTCTTTGATTAGTTTAACTGACAACTAACTCTAAAACTATAAAGCACTTAGTTAATTGGCGGCTTCTGCCTTCGCCTAAGAAAGTCTTTGCCCTTAAACAAAAAAACAAAAAAGATTTGGCGTCGCCTTTAAGGGGCGAACTGGAGAGAATCTTAATTCTTAAGCACACGGAGACTGGAGTTGCCACAATCTCGCTTAACCGCTTCCTCTCCTTTCGGCTCGGTCTCGAGCAGCCTTGCAATGCAGCCGCGTTTCTGGGGGAAAGCGTTCCTTGTAACACGTCCCCCCAGGACGTTCCGAACCGCACGCTTGGAGCGATGTTTCTTCAACTGCCCTCCGTTGCCAGAGACCAACGGCTTCTTGTTCAGGCTTTTTCCGGGAAATGAACCTCTTAATCCGTTCCCTTGGCCAGCCAACGTCGGGCTTCAATGGCGGAGGCGGCGGCTGCCCTGGCCGGCTATGACCCAGTCGTCTCTTCTCGCTCCGTTTGCGTCTATACGAGCTGCTATTGGTAAGAAAGGGTTGTCCCTGTTATGAAACACAGCGATCGCCGTTATAAATCGCCGTTTTTGGGGGTTTTTTTTTAGCTCTTTTTAGCTTTTTAAGTGTAAATTGGGTTTTAATTGGATTGTTTTAAATTGTGGGCCAAAGCTGTATAATTCTTTTAATTGATTTTAAATTTTGTATTGGTATGTTTTTTTATCCTTGGCTGTGCACCGCCCTGAGTCCAATAGGAGAAGGGCGGTATATAAATTGAAATAATAATAATAATAATAATAATAATAATAATAATAATAATAATAATAAAAAAAAAAAATTATTCCAGAAAATCTTAATAGGGCAGCCGATGCCAGTCTATCAAAAGTTCCTCCAGCTCTCAAAACAATCCGGAAGCATTTCTGGAAGAACATTTTGATTTATTAGGTGCTGATAAATAGGTAGATGCAGCGCCGGCTTAGCATAACACAACATATTACAATTAGTCATTGTAATATAAAACAAGGAGCCTATTTTATCAGATTGATCATGTTACGTCTTCAAAGTTAGCCTTCGCTTTTCCTCCATGTTTGAAGTCCTGTTAATTTTTCTTAATGGGAATTTCATTTTTGGTATCTCTGGTAAAAAGGTATGGGTATACATAATGTAGACGTACCCTGACAGAATTAAACCCTGATTCCAGGTAATTTATGACCATTTATACAATTATGTAGAAGAGAGAATGGATTGAATAAAAAGGGGGAATGCAAGATAACCTTGAAAAATTAAGTTTTTAGTACCAGAAAAGCACAGGAACTTGAAAATATGTGAGCTCATGTTTTTATTGCTCTATAGTGAAGAAAATATCTGGAAACTTTGTGAACATATCCGAAGCAAGAATCAATACCCTTTAGAAGAATTTTATGCTGTTTTCATTTCCAATGACAGAAAGATGGTAAGTTGGGATGTGGCACTAGAGCAAAACAAAAACAACTGCCTTAAATGTCAGGATTAAAAGCTGTTCTAGTCAGTTTGAGGCTTCAAATTCCCCTCATCCCATTGCTGACACTTCCAATAGCATTATAAGAGCCATTTTGGTCTAACCAGTTAACGCTAGATGGCTAGAAAGTCAGAGACCATGAGTTTCAGTTCCGTCTTAGCTGTGAAAGCCAGCTGAGTGACCTTGCACCAGTCACATACCCTCAGCCCATCTCACCTCACAGGGTTGTTGTGGAGAAAATAGGAGGAAGGTGTGCTGGATATGGTCATCACATTGAGTTATTTGTAAAAAAATAATAGACAGGATACAGGTGAATAAAAGAAATAAACTGCTTTGCTTATCAGCAGAATGCTGCTCCCAATTGTGGTTGTAAGTAGACTACACATTATATATACCGTCCTATATATTTCTGTTTTATTAACTGCAACATATTCCCATAGTTTTAAAAGTGGATTGTGGCTGCAGAACAGGTAAACAACCTACAATCCTGATCCAAAGGTAGTCATACAGTTCAGATATTCTGCTTAACTAGCAGTGCAGCATGTATGAACTCATTAACCTAGTCAGTACTGGGACTGGAGAGTCACAGTTTTAAGCCCAAACTATACCTGAATAATTTGAGTCAAATTACCTTTCCTGGTCTGTTGTACACACACTGGGAGATTCATTCACTCAGTTCTCCAAAGAAATGAGATGGTGTTGTAGAACAGCCAAAAATATAATTTACTTTAATGCAAAACTCGCTACAGAGGCCTGCCAGTAACATGACACAGTTCCCAAAAACACAAGTTTTGTAGGATGCTGCCAATTTAGCCGATAGGGAAGGGTCATTGATGTAACAAAGCTTGGCAGTACTGTTTTGCAATAATAGGTCATATGTTGAGCTATTGGTATTTCCCCAGGTGGAAGTTATTGACCTATCTAGTGTGCTTGTGTACTGCTAGAACCAGTAGCTCTACCTAGTTAATCATTCACTTAGCTAACTATGTAAATATAATCCAGTGTAGCAGAATAAATGGCTGGGGAAGGGCCAAGTCAAAATCTTTGAAAGGCAAAAGAGTGCCTTTGTTATTGTTACTGTGTTTTTTGGACAATGCAGTCTGTTCAAACAATGCATATTTTATAAAGTAGGAGGAGGCAGAGAGGAGTTGTAGAAGGAACATTAGGGAATTTAGTGTTGGATATTTAATTTAATCTAATTTAATATTTAAATTTATATACCGCCCTTCTCTCGAAGGATTCAGGGCGGTGAACAGCCAGAAGTAAAAAACATCAAATACAAAATATAAAAACAATTTTAAAATGAATTAAACAATTTGGCCTGACTAAAATCCCCCATTAAAAATCCAAATTAAAATACACAATTGGAGAGATTAGGCCAGCACGACTTGATGAAATAAAAAGGTTTTGAGGGCCCGACGGAAAGTACGTAAGTCTGGAATCGTCCGTATCTCCGGGGGGAGCTCGTTCCAGAGGGCAGGTGCTCCCACAGAGAAAGCTCTCCCCCTGGGGGCCACCAGTTGCCATTGTTTGGCCGACGGCACCCAGAGGAGCCCCTCTCTGTGGGAGCGTACTGGCCGGTGGGAGTCTCTCGGTGGCAGAACCCGGCCCTAAGCCATGGATATAAGAAAAGGATAGGCATTTATTTCACTGTCATGTTTTTGGAGGCAGGAAACTATTGAGCTTATGATGCCAGAAAAATAATTTGTATAGTAGATGTTACAGCCACAAAAAACACCCTTGGGTATTTACATGACGAATAGGATAGGATAGGATAGGATAGGATAGGATAGGATAGGATAGAATAGAATAGAATAGAATAGAATAGAATAGAATAGAATAGAATAGAATAGAATAGAATAGAATAAATCCTTTATTGGCCAAGTGTGATTGGACACACAAGGAATTTGTCTTGGTGAATACGCTCTCGGTGTACATAAAAGAAAAGATACATTCGTCAAGAATCATAAGGTACAACACTTAATGATAGTCATAGGGTACAAATAAGCAATCAAATCATATTAGGAAACAGTCAATATAAATCGTAAGGATACCAGCAACAAGGTTACAGTCGTACAGTCATAAGTGGGAGGAGATGGGTGATCGAAACGATGAGAAAATTAATAGTAATGCAGATTTAGTAACTAGTTTGACAGTGTTGAGGGAATTATTTGTTTAGCACAGTGATGGCGTTTGGGAAAAAAATGTTCTTGTGTCTTTGTCTTCAACATTTGTTGAAAACGTATTAGCTATTATTGATGGGAGTCTTAGGCATTAAATTACTTTAGCTATGTTCTTTGTAACCTGCAGGTACCACTTTGGAAGCAGCAGGCAGGATGTGAAGATCAGCCTGTGATCTGGGTGAACAAATCCACTTTTTCTTTGCACTGTTTCCCACTGCCCCCACCATGCAATTGTTTTTAAATGTATCTTTATAAACCAGATCAGTGAAATGTGCTCAGTCCAACGTATCCCAATGTGATTTTAAAATGTTTCTTCAGCCAATATGGTGGTTAAGTTGGTGTATCTAAGAGTAGAGATACCAAGATCTAGTCTATACTCAACCATAGAAGTTCCCTGGATGACTGAGTCATTCTGGCTCAGCTAACCTATATTGGGGGGGGGAAATGGGAAGGAGCACTGTGCATGCTACCTTGAAGTCCTAAATGAAAGGCAGGAGATACATCTGGTGAACAACAATGTCCTCTGGATGAGTTGAATTTGAAGTCCCATCATTTTCAGCTGTTCTATTTGGGTGATCAGATTGCAGCTTAATGTGCTGAGTTATGAATGAGTTTTTAAAGTAGGAGGTCATTCCATAAACCAGCTGCATATATTAAACTAAGAATGTGTTTCTTGGTTTGTTTGCATTAGAACACCGCCAAAACCAAAAGGCTGCGAAACCTTGTTTTGATAATCTTGGTTAATTCTAAAATGATTAACTGTAGTTTACCGATTTGAATGAAACAGACATTTTTGGTTTACTTGTTTTCCTGTGCAAATGGTCGTATGAAATCTTAAATCTCATACATATTTTAGCTATATTTGACTTAGCTTAGATCCAGGGCTGCTTTGCCCCAGGACATTGACAAAATGCTCAAATAATGCATGCTAAACTCTTTAGAATGATCCATTCTATGATTCAACTGGCTAGCTTTCTTGTATACCAGCGCTAAGAAGGAACCCAATAAGTAAAACTGAATAAATTATATAACATATTGGTGAATTAGTTTTTACATGTAACCTTTTTCCAGTTTCCTCTGTAATCACCACAGGTTCTCATTTGCCATCTTTTCTTTTCAGGATTACCATGTTATTTTGTTACACGTGTCGAACGGAGACCAGAACTTTATCTATGATCTTGATACTGTCCTACCTTTCCCTTGCCCTTTTGGCACTTACATTGAAGAGGCTTTCAAATCGGACAGCATCATTAACCCTGAATTTCGAAGGTGGGGATATCAATCACAAACATTCCCAGCATAGCTTTAATAGCAGTAAAACTTGGGTGTGCCAAAGTTAGCCTGACATATTACAGTTCATAATTTGAGGTTGTTATTGCATCAGCCTGGAGAAGTGGAAAAAACTCTATTACCATAAAAATAAATTTCAGGTGCAGAGTTCTATTAATGGAGTACATGTGAAGTAATAAAATCTTATTGCACTAATGCCAAGAATGCATCCGATGAAATGAAGAGCACAATTTTTTAAACCTTCATTTTACTTTAAGTCCAGAATAAAAAATGATGTAGTTTGTATCTATTTCAAAATAACTTGTCTTCTATAGCATTTATTTATCCTTGGTTGGAATCTTACAATCTGTAACCTAGAAGTAAGCTCCATTGTAGTTGGACTTATGAATTGTATCAAGACCATTGCTTACTTAATCAAACAGGTAGTCCTTGACTTACACTGGCCGCTTAGCTACTGTTTGAAGCAGAGGTGAAATCAATCCAGCAGGTTCTGACAGGTTCTGGAGAACCAGTAGCAGAAATTTTGAGTAGTTCAGAGAACCGGCAAATACCACCTCTGGCTGGTCCCAGATGGTTGGGAGGCCAATCCAACTGACAATCAGCTGCTTGTGCTAATCAGACTGTACTGAAACTGAAACTGAAACGGGCTGTTTGCTGTCTGATGCAAGGAGGCAAATTGCTGGGAGGCAGAGGCTAAAGGGTGGGGGCCGGTGGATGGGCGGGGCTACATTCGGTGTATAAGACGCACTCAAATTTTCACTCTCTTTTGGGGGGGGAAGTGCGTCTCATACTCCACGGTAGGTATAAACTGTGGCGTATGGACAACTACTGGACCAACCAAAGCACTTTATAACTTGGCATGGTTGGCAAATTTATCCAATGGGTTTCTTTCATATGTATAGAATTCCTTGTACTTTTGGCTTAAATTTACACTTACCTGTAAAATATTCCTATTTAACGTAAAATGTAAACCATTCGCAGTTTAATTAACACAAGGTAAATCTGATACTGAACAGCAATTTAATACTTGATTTAGCTGTAGTTGAAAACGATTGTGGGAGCTCAGCCTTCTGTTTTCTGAGATAGGCAACGCTGATCAATTATTGTAAATGTTTGTCTTCCTTAGGAAAGTCAGATTGGTTCGAGCTGATATGTATCTGAAGACTTTTGCTTCTGACAGATCGCACATGAAAGACGCCAGCGGGAAGTGGCTGAAATCTCCTCCCCTATACCCATGTATTGAAACTGCAGGTAAATCATAAATTTTAATGTTCCACACCCAAACAACACTATATCTCCTGTTAATACTGAGTTTAAACATTGCAGTAAGCTGTGGTTTGTTTCTATCGAATAAACCTTAATTGGTTGAGTTTGTACAGTGTAAAGCAATAAGTCTCCAAATTGAGCTTGATTCGTAGGGACTCATGATTATCTCCAAGACTTGGTGCAGCAAATGCTTTGTATCCAGAACAGTGTTTCTCAACCATGGCAACTTTAAGATGTGTGGACTTCAGCTCCCAGAATTCCCCAGCTAGCCCGAGAAACACTAATCAGAAGATTCCAAATTCAGAGTGTAGGTATTGCATTTTCTTAGTTTAATTAATCTCATTTTTGCAGTTTCAGCAACCCAGTCCTTTGCTCAGCTCCTTCCTTACTCTCTGCTAGAGTTTAGATATAGATCAGTCCTGAGCTATTTTCTTCCAAACTCTAAGCTCACCCCAATTCTGTCATGGTGGCTTAAAGGGCAACAAGAGTCTAGAACCATGGTGGCGAACCTATGGCACACGTGCCAGAGGTAACACGCAGAGCCCTCTCTGCAAGCATGTGTCCTATCGGAGTCTAAATCTGAAGGGGAAGACGAACATCTGACAGAGAGCGAGAGAGTGGCTCCATTGACTGTGGAAGAAACTGGGAAAGGGCAAAGTCAGGCTGGTCAGAGCAAGGGAGAGTTATTACAAGGGAGCGGGGTGGTGGTGGTTCAGATGAAGACCAAGGCCCACCTTCTCCTCATCCTAGGCAGCGCAGGAAAGAACGGAGAAGAGAGCAACGTGGGTTGCGTAGCTTATGAGGGAGGAAAGGGCCCCGATTCCCTTCACAAGGCACACCTGGGGATGGAGTTTAAAGGAGAGGCAAATGGGAGGGGCGGTTGTCGGGAACAAACACTGAGTTCATCAAACCAGTTGGGAGGATGCCAGGAACTCAGATAGTTTGATTTACTGCCATGCTACTTCACTTCTGGAACTCTTTATCTTGCTTGCCCTGCCGGATTAATTACCTTATCTTGCCTTATTGGATGTATAGTTGGAAGTTTTCTGCTTACAACATTTGGGACCTGAAGTATTATCAGCCTAAGGCTATTACAGGTTGGTGGAAGAACTCTCTCCAGGCCGGAGAGTTGAAAGGGACATTGGGGGCACATTGGTGATAATAAAGGGACTCATACCAGTTCTCTGGCTGTGTTGCCTTTGTGTCATGCCCCGAGTCATCACAGGCACGTGCGCCGTCACCAGCTGGTCTTCGCGTGCGCCGGAGCACCTGAAAAAGGCCTAAAACGGCCAAAAAACAGGCATGCGTGCGCCAGCCAGCTGGTTTTCAGGTTTCCGGTGCTCTGCCGCCCACGAAGACCAGCTGGCTGGCGTGCACGCACATGCAAGAGACCCAAAGACCAGCTGGCTGGCACGCGCATATGCGCCGGCCAGCTGGTCTTCGGGTTTCTGGCGCATACACATGCATGTGCAGGCACGCGCATTCTGGTTCGGGCACTCAGTGCTGAAAAGTTTCGCCATCACTAGTCTAAAACATCTGGAGGACTGCATTCCTTTGTGGAGCAATGTTAGCTTTGCCATCTGGAAATGAGTCTTAGAAGAAGAAAGTTGAAACTGAAAATAGCTGCATATCGTGAAAACTTAGCATCTTTTCTCTACTCTAAAGCAGAGATTGTTTTCTCTGCTCCAAAGAACTTAAATAACTTTCAATGCTTTTATCTTTTTTTTTTTTCTTTTTCTTTTAAGATTTCAAGATGAATCTGGATGACTTTATTAGTATGAATCCAGATACAGGCTGGGGTTTTGTGCGGAAACTCTCTGATTTTGTGCAAGAATTCGGCAGTCAGAACTATGAAGAAGAATAATGAAGAATTAAAGTACGAATATAGATTTGCCATGCTACTTGTAAATATACCGGGGTGAAAGCTGGAATAATGTTAATTGAACTTAGAAAATAAAACTTTACTTTTGAATATGTCTGACACAAAAGAGAGCCAGTTTGGTCTAGTGGCTAGAAACCAGGAAACGATAACTTTTAGTTCTGCCTTAGGCCTGAAAGCTGGTTGGGTGACTTTGGGCAAATCACCAGAAAACATAAGTTCTAGTCCCGCCTTAGCCATAAAAGCTGGTTGGCTAACTTTGAGCCAGTCATTCTCTCTCAGCCCAAACCCACCTCATAGGGTTGTTGTGGGGAAAAGAGGAGGAAGGACTATTATGTATCTTTACCACCCTAAAAAGTAATAAAAGCAGGATTAAAAATAAATAAATTCAACCTTACTCTAAGGTTACGTTCATTTTATATCACCTGTAATGTTTTCTAATCACAAAACCTATATATTATAATTTCATTTCATTTCTGTCTCACACAAAAGGGTTTCCAATCAGCATTAAAACTAATGTGTTTAATCAAAACTGTCAGTTTTATCATCTCAGCAAGTTCCATCCTCTTCACCATCCACTCTTCATTAAGGCTATTGTCAAATCTTCCCACTATTATGCATATAAAAGTTTTACTGCTGTTATCATACATAAGTTCCCAGAGTTTATTTTCCAACCTTTTCACAATCAGTCTTAAACATATCTGGTTTCAGTTGCATATCAATCTTTTCTAGATTAAGTATTTGATACCAAAATAGGTTTTTTTGACTGTCCACCAAGCATGATTAAAAAGTCCCCTCTTGTTGTTCACATTTCCATTAACTATTTCTCCTCTAAGCATTGATAAAATGTTTCCCATATTGCATAATAACCAGTTTGTTCTTTCTCTTTAATTGCCAGTGTTAATCTATTCATTTCTGCACATTCTAGAATAGAATAGAATTTTTTATTGGCCAAGTGTGATTGGACACACAAGGAATTTGCCTTGGTGCATACGCTCTCGGTGTACATGAAAGAAAAGATATGTTTGTCAAGAATCATAAGGTACAACACTTAATGACAGTCATAGGGTACAAATAAGCAATCAAATCATATTAGGAAACAGTCAATATAAATCTTAAGGATACCAGCAACAAAGTTACAATCATACAGTCATAAGTGGAAGGAGATGGGTGTTAGGAACGCTGACAAGATTAATAGTAGTGCAGACTTAGTAAATAGTTTGACAGTGTTGAGGGAATTATTTGTTTAGCAGAGTGATGGCATTCGGAAAAAACTGTTCTTGTGTCTAGTTATTCTGGTGTGCAGTGCTCTATAGCGTCATTTTGAGGGTAGGAGTTGAAATAGTTTATGTGCAGGATGCGAGTGGTCTGTAAATATTTTTACAGCCCTCTTTTTGATTCGTGCAGTATACAGGTCCTCAATGGAAGGCAGGTTGGTAGTAATTGTTTTTTCTGCAGTTCTAATTATCCTCTGAAGTCTGTGTCTGTCTTGTTGGGTTGCAGAACCAAACCAGACAGTTATAGAGGTGCAGATGACAGACTCAATAATTCCTCTGTAGAACTTAATCAGCAGCTCTTTGGGCAGTTTGAGCTTTCTGAGTTGGCGCAGAAAGAACATTCTTTGTTGTGCTTTTTGATGACATTTTTGATGTTGGGTGTCTATTTTAGATCTTGCGAAATGGTAGAACCTAGAAATTTGAAGGTCTCTACTGTTGATACTGTGTTGTCTAGTATTGTAAGAGGTGGAAGTATAATATTTTCCTTCTCATATTCTCCTCTGTAGGAATCTCTTCACTTTTCCAGTTTTGTGCAAATACAATTCTAGTTACGGTTATTACATCAATAATCAAATATACATTTTCTTTACTATAAGTTTTTGGTAAAATCCCCAACAGAAATATTTCAGGTTTCAAGTCAATTTTGATGTTAAGAGATCCTGGAAACATGAGTTAAGACTAATACAGTGACCTATCACTAGATGTCAGTCTTTACTTCTAGTCTCTCAGTAAAACAAAGAAATTGTAAGAAATTGTTGGTTTCTTTGGAATCTTTTTTCTCTTCCAGTGGATAGTTTAATAAGAGTCATAATTATCAACAAACCTCCTTCAGAAGACTTAGTGACTTGTTTAGGTATTAGGCACCATCATATGATGTTACACAGGGTGTCGCCACAAAAACCAACATGGCTGACGTATCATAAGTCTTCAACAATTTCGCTCCCAAGAACTCATGGTATTTTGAGGTTCTTGCCTGACTCAAGTGAGAATTTAGGCATAAATGATTTGCATCTCATCAGATATGGGGGCATTTAGTACCCACTCATGTATACCATTGCCGTTCACTTTGACTCTTTCTGTCCTGATGAACATTATTTTAGTTGGCTCTTGGTTTAGAGCAGGGGGGTCAAATTCGATTTCATTGAGGGCCACATCAGGGTTATGTTTGACCTTGGGGTGGTCAGGGTGGGCGTGGCAAAGGTGGGCGTGGCCAACTCGACCTCACTCATGTCGGGGGCGCCTGTGACCGAAGAGGCGATCGCGTGCGAAGCGCGCACACAAAGAGAACTAGTAGTAAAGTCGGTTAGAACCCACCACTGCCCTTATCATATGTTGGGTCTGGTTTTGCCTTGGGGTAGCAGCAACATGAACTGAAAATGGGAGTGATTAATATAGTCCTTCGCCATGGACATATCATTATGAGTCTACTTGGAGTTCTCCATTTTAGAGGGTGGACCTATTCCTTCAGTCAGTTCCTGACTCTTATTTATTGTATTTATTTATTGGTTCGATTTATATGCCGCCCTTTTCCAGAGACTCAGGGCGGCTTACGCCCTGCGTTAAGCAATAGCCTTCATACTTTTGTATATACCTGCTTAGTAGGGCTTTCGCCCCCCCCACCCCAGCAGTGTTCTTTTTTATATAAAGTCAGCTTATTGCCCCCACAATCCAGGTTCTCATTTTACCTACCTCGAAAGGATGGAAGGCTGAGTCAACCTTGAGCCTGGTGAGATTTGAACTTGCAGTAATTGCAGGCAGCTGGTATTACTTAACAGTGTTTTAGTCTGCTACGCCACCAAGGCTCTTGACAGACCTAGTTGGGCTCCAGAAGGAGCCTGGAGTTATTCTTGAGGCCCTGATACATAATTTGACTCAGGCCTTGGTCATCACTTGGAATGAAAGAGTGATGATGATTTGGGATCAGATTGTTTCTGTGTGGCTTCTCCCTGCTCTTGGATCCCAGAGTCCACTGGTTATCCAAGGAACTTCAAGAAATGTAACAGGAGAAGAGTTGACTAGTGCATTACGGGGAAAAGGTAAATGATCAACATGAGTAAGAGCCTTTATTAAGCACTACCTTGTGACTATAATGCAGGCAAATCATTATTTCTCTGTTCTTAGTCTGTTTGATGATTGCCAGCCAATGGCCTTAATTTAACCCTAACTCTCTTGAGAAAAGGGGCTGGAAAAACACCCACAAGTCCACTGCAGGGAACATTTGAAGCATTTGAGAAATAAAATTGGTTGGATCTAATCCTTGTGGACTCTAGTTGCACCAGTCTGGTGGAATTGATTGAAGGACCGTCCCGCTAAGATATTTGCGAGCAGTTTGAGCCACCGATCCCAAGTCTCAAGGACAGTTGATCTCAAGCTGAAAATAGAAATCGGCAACGTGATGTGGCTGACAAAATGCAATTTTACACTGCGTTGATAGAACAGCTTTCAGATCACGGAAAGTACTATTTCAGTTGTAATCTGCATTATTCAGATCTGCTTTAAGCCACGTGTGTGCATTGCAGTTTAACAAAGATTCAGGAAAAATAGACAGTTGCAGAGAAGGGCAACAAAGATATCAGGGGACTGAAAAATCTTATGAGGAGAGACTGAGTGTGTTTATCTTGGGAAATGACAGTCAAGGGCATTATGACTGATCAAGTTCAGTTGTTTAACAACTCAGATTCTGGGCAATTTGTTCGGGGGGGAAATCCTAATGTAAGAACAAATCAACAACAGATCTAAAGACCAAGCAAGGCTGTGAGTTGTCTGATGGACTTTTACTTATTAAGAAAATATATATGATTGCCCAACTCACGGTGACTCCAGACAGTTTACAGAAATAAAAGGCTCAAAGAGCCTGGATAGCTCTGCAGGCAAAGGCACTGTAATTTAACACCAGCTGTCTGCAATTAAAGTAAGTTCGAATCTTGCCAGGCTCAAGGTTGACTCAGCCTTCCATCCTTTTTAAGGTAGGTAAATTGAGGACCCAGTTTGTGGGGCAATAAGCTGACTTTGTAGAAATATACAAAAGTATGAAGGCTATTGCTTAACGCATTGTAAGCCGCCCTGAGTCTCCGGAGAAGGGCGGCATATAAATCAAATTAAAAAAAAAAAATACAAATCCCAATAATCCACTGCAACCCCCTGGTGACAACAGTCAAACAAACCACTTGATGGGCTCCCTATCACCCTGGGATCCCAGGCTCATTGACAAAACCATGTCTTCAGGGCCTTTGGAAAAAGTATCATGTTCCACAGTATTATTGTGTATTTATATTCCACACAGGGATGAAATGCTACCAGTTCCAGCCGGTTCGCCTGAACCGGTAGGAAGAAAAGGGGGAAAAAATTCTGACAATCAGCTGAGCGACGCTCGATCATCGGAACTTTTTTTTTTTTTACTTTTTAGGCATTCTTTTACTACCGGTTCAGGCGAATAGGTAGTAAAAAATACTTTTAAAAAGTAAAAAAAAAAAGAGCATCTGACAAGCACAGCTGTGCTGCACGATCACTGGAGCCTTTTTTTTTACTTTTTTAAAGCATTTTTTACTACCTATTTGCCCGAGCCGGTAGTAAAAAATGCTTTTAAAAAGTTTTTTAAAAGGTTCCCATGTACGCCACAGCTGATCACGCCCCCCTGCGCTGTTCTGCTTACCTTCCCAAGCCTCCTTTTAGTGCTCACTGCATGTGTGCGCGCAGCTTGCATTTGGTGCACAGTGCGCATTTGGCGCATCGCGCACATGCATGGCCAGCGAACAGGTAGTAAACTGGTTCAGATTTCACACTGGTTCCATGGGAAGGGAGCCACCATGCAGAAGACCTTCCTCGGTTGCACTAAATGGAATTCCTTAAGAGAGGCGACCTCTAAAATATCTGCAACTTCCTTGGTCTGGTGTAAATTCTTCTGTAGTGAACGCTTTAATCTGGATTCCTGTCCTGGACAGAGACGTAAATGTAGCTTAAGCAGCCCTTTTCAGTTCTGCAGTATAAGGGAGGCATCTGTTGCGTTGCAAAAATATATTGTAACATAGCAGTTTATTTGCTCTGATCTTGGAATAATTTATGGAAGAATATTTAATGTGACTCTTTTCTTGGATCGGCATGTTGCCTGTTCCAGTCGCTTGGATTTATTTTTATTTTTGTAGCTTCTCTACAATTCCCAAATAAATTTCAGAAGCAAATCTGAGTTTGCTTTGTACTTGTTTTCTTCTTGCCAATGTCTTATGACCAAACTCAGTAACGTGAAGTGTTTTGACATTAGCTGAGTAATGAAACCTCTCAGGAAGAAAACCTAGGTCTGTAAATGCCTGATAGTTCAACCCTGAGCTACACACATTTTTAAAACTACATTATAGAGTTATATATAAACACCCCCCCCTCTCTCTCTCTCGTAGGGTTTTTGTGTGTTTTTCTTCTAGCCAGGTTTTCCCTACGTAACCAAGGTTTTTCTGCAGCTAAAAGAAAAACACACATAAACCCTACGAAGAAGTAAGAAAATAGATACTATACCTTTACAGGGAGGATACATAAGATATGGGTGTGGCCTACTGATGAAAGCAAACGAGCTAGAAATAGATCTATATAGGTCTCCCACCTAGCAGGAATTGCTTGTTAGCTGTTAGAAAAGAAAAAAGCCCAGAATCGAGTGGATGTGATTCTACTGAGCTGGTGCTGCAGAAAAACCTTGGTTACGTAGGGAAAACCTGGCTAGAAGAAAAACATACATAAACCCTATGAAGAAGTAAGAATATATATATATATAACTCTATTTATATATATATAAATATATAGAGTTATATATTCCACCTTGTTTGCACAACTTAAGGCCATGTACAGAATGTGCCCAACTCCTATATTCCTACAACAACAGCCCTGTGGTGTGAGTTGGGCTGGGAATGATTGGCTCAAGGTCACACAGCCAGCTTTCATGCCTAAGGTAGGACTAGAATTCTCAGTCTCCTGGTGATTGGCCCAAAGTCACCTAGGTGGCTTGCATGCCTAAAGTCAGACTAGAACTCACAGTCTCCTGGTGATTGGCCCAAAGTCACACAGCCAGCTTTCATGCCTAAGGTAGGACTAGAGTTTGTGTTCTTCTGGTTTCTCGTCCAACTCTTTTAACTACTAGTCTAAACTGGCTGTCAAAAATGATTTATTCTAGAAAAAATGTTGTTTCCCTATTCCCCAAGAGGCTGAGTCAAAAATCGTGGTTTTCAAAGTATAAGGCTTGTGGTAAAATAAAAATTCTGGGCTGGTCATGTATGTTAAGGTTCTGCCTCAGGTTTAGGGATTTTAGATCAGAGATGGGCAACTATGACCTATGGATTTCAGCTGAGCCAGGGCTGGCTCAGGAATTATGGGAGTTGAAGTCCACAGGACATAAAATTTGCTATAGTTGCCCATCCTGGTTCAGATTGTAGTTTTGGAAGTCTTAAGATGTTTTGAAGGGAGAAATGTGAGCTTTTTGCAAGTGAAATAAAATAAAGATCAAGAAATTTATTGATTCAGCAAGAGTTCAGAATTCTGGCTCTCCAAGTTTGGAATTCTTTATTTACTTATTCAAGATAAAATCAGATAGTGTTCAGACACAGAGAAACTATTTATTTCATTTCTGGGTAGATGGGAAGGATTCCATCAGAACAGGATTTTTGTACTACATCCAATGTGGAATTTGCAGCTGGATATTTTTAGCAGGATAGAAATAAGAAGTCATTCTTAATCCATACTAAACAATCCATGCCCCATTCATCACTGTATCAAAAATATTTCCTTATCTGAACCAAGAAACAGAATAACCAAGATATGTCGATAAAGGCTCAGGCATCCCGGCCAAAGGTGTCTAAAGGTTGAATCATGACAACTGGACCAAACTTGGTTAACCTGAGATGTTTCGTTGCTCATCCAACGAAACTGACCGATGAAGGTGCTTGGATGAACAATGAAATGTCTCACATTAACCAAGTTTGGTCCAGTTGCCATGATTCAACCTTTAGACAGGGTGACCAAGGCGGACAAAAAAGCAGTGGGTACCTCCAAATTCCTGCCAGCTTCCCCAATGAAATAAATTGAATAAATATAACAAAATTGATCTTCCAAGCTTGGACAACACACTCAAATTCCCAGGCAGATGTGCAAAGTCTTGGAAGTTGTATTCCATCATATCTAGAGGCCAAAAAACTGAGAAAACTGGTGTATACACTCGCAATAATTAATCTGCATCTTCATTTCTGAAAAGTATAGTGACATTTGTGTGTTCCTATAAAAAATAGGGAGAGAAGGTTAATGAATGCCACTTCTGACATTTTGTCAGCAGAAGAAGCTAAAAAAGCAATAGAAATGCCAGTCTTTTATTTTATGAATATTTTATTCATAATTTCAGTGTCAAAAACAGTTTACAAAAAGGAAAGAAAATAATTGCTACTTGTAACCAAGCAGTTGTCGAATAGTTGAACATGCAAGAAAAAAAGAATGTGCAAAATTTATATAGAAAGATTTTCAGTAGCCTGCAAAAAGGCTGCACAAAAGGATTTTTAAAATTACATAATGAGGTTTGTTTTTTTAATCATTTATCACCCCTGTATGCCATTTCAATTTTAAAAACCCCTATTAAACAAATATACAAATATAGGCAGGTATATATATATATATATATATAATTAATGCTAATTAAAATCTAAAATTAAAAAGTGTGAAAATAAAAAAAAAATAAGAGTAAAATGTTGATTTAATGGACCATTGGGGGGAGTGTGCCTATTCAATCTGAATTTGCCTCATTTGCATAACTAAAATAGCATAATTTGCAGTAATTTATTTGACTTATCCTCTACTAACTGGACAAAACGGGTATTAATCTGTTAAATGGGAGTGAAATCCAGTATTTGTGCATTGTACTCAAAGTATAAATTTAAACCAAGATCCATTAAATTATGGGCTCACTGTTACTCATTTTGGAACTGAATTCCTGGCATTATATACAGCAAAATTTATATTTGTCAAGACTGCGTGAGTCGAGGCTTTGTTCTAAGTTATTGTTGATTTACCATGGTTTGTTAGCCAAGCCACAGTTGGCTGATTTCATGTATCCTGATACACTATAATCTACAATTTACCCTTTCATGGCTGGATTCTTGAAATCAGGGTCACAGATTAATACAATAAGTGATATAATAGCTTAGCTTGGTGTTTCTCAACCTTTACAACTTTAAGAAGTGCGGAGTTCAGAAATTCTGGAAGTCCATACCTATTAAAAGTTTCTGAGGTTCAAAAACATTGGCTTAGCCTAATGCCTGAAATTAGAAAGTAGGAGCAGAAAATAAGATCAGTATAGGGCAGTGATGGCTAACCTTTTTGCCGTCACGTGCCAAAAGCGTGGGGAGCGTGGGGAGGGGTCACGCGCATGCGTGCCCACACCCATAATTCAATGTGCCACGCTCCCCCCACATGCACACGCGACCCCTCCGCGCTCCCGCCACTTTTGGCACACAATGGCCCCAGTAGGCCCATTTTTCGCCCTCCCCAAGCTCCAGAGGCTTTCTTGGAGCTGGGGAGGGCGAAAACTGCCTCCCCCCATCCCCGGAGGCTCTCTGGAGGCCGGAAACAGCCTGTTTCCCGACTTCCAGTGGGACCGGAAGGCCTGAAAAGCGAGACATTTGTTAAGTGAGTTTTGCCCTGTTTTACAACCTTGCACAGCTGTTAAGTGAACCACTGTGGTTGTTAAAGTTAGTTGAGTGAATCCAGCTTCCCCATTGTTTCTCAGAATGTTACAAAAGGGGATCACATGACCCTGGGACACTGCAACCGTCATAAATATGAGTCGGTTGCCAAGTGTCTGAATTTTGATCACATGACTCTGGGGATGCTGCAATGGTCCTAAGTGAAAAACGGTCATTAGTCATTTTTTTTCCTTGCCGTTGTAACTTCAAACGATCATTAAACTGACTGTTGTAAATCGAGAACTACCTGTACTAAATTCAGCATTGTAAGATTAAACATTACAAGACTTCCAGATCCAAATATTTCTGGAATAAAGCTCGAATGCTAAAAAAAAAACATGTGCTTTTGGAGAAATTTGGGAAACAATGACCAAATCTGTGATTTTACTTGTGGCACATTTCCACGCAAGAGAACAATAAGAATATTGTAGCCATCATCTTCATGGTTAGTCTCACTAGTTCTAATGTGGCTCATTGATTTCTAGGCTTAGTTGCACTCGTTTTGTGTTATTTTGTAGCCTGCATGGGGATGGTTTGTAAATATCTCCAAAGTTTTGGATTATGGAAATTTGGGAGGGGGGGGAAGAATCTGGAATTACAACAGTTATTAGCCAGCAAGTGTTTGCAAAGATATAGAAGATACAGAATCTACTATAGTGCATAAGCATTTTATCTGACAAGCGTTTGAATTCGTTTCCATATTTTTTCCAGATTCTTCCTCCTTATCATCATCAAAATATTTTTAAGCCTCTTCTCACGGAAAAGATCCCAGAATGGTTCACGAGAATATAAAAAGTAATAATTACAAAATCAAAACACTCCATTCAAAAGATAATGCGTTGATGGAGTGTTAATAGATATCTAATTAAAAAAACAAATCAGTGCAGCTAATTTTTTTTTTCCTGCTGTCCTGGATACTTTTATGGAAAGGAAAAAGACAAATAACTAGCAGTGAAAAGGTTTGAAGCAAACAATTTAAAAATATTTTACATTTTGTACATTATAGCAGAATTTTAGACTGCCAAATCTTAAAACAGAAAGAACCATGGTAGGTGAAATAGATCGGACACTTCAAAGTCATAAAAACATCATATCAACAGCAGGGCAGTTTTTCTGCCAACAATTTAGCAAACAAGAGGAACTGTTTTCATAAACAATTTGTGTCAAACTGCAGAGCTGCTAAAATGAACCATCAACAGGTTGCTGAGAAAAACGTGTCAAATCTGTTCTCCCTTCTGTAGCGCATGAATAGAAGCCAAAGAAATATCAAAGAAATATCAAGATTTCGTAGATACTTTACTGCACTTCGAAGATTCCAGGCTTATTTCAAAAAAAGCAAGCAGGACACATATCTTGGTGTGTTTATTGTTGATTTGTAGGGAAGATTTTTCTGGAAAACCAGAGATTTTGCCAAATGGTTTCCAGGAACATATACCTCAGGATCCTAATCCAGACACAAGGTTATAAAACCAGACTATTCTGGAATATGGTTTTTATCCCTGAACTTGTGTGAACACGTCACAAAGTCCTAAATTCACTTAAAAGTTATAAAGTTAATATCCTATACAAGTGATGCAGATTATTATTATTATTATTATTAGCCTTCAAACAACATAGGTGCAACAATCAGCTTTTCTACAGTGTAACATTGACGTGTTTTGTCAAATCAAAAAATTAAAAATTCACCTCCAAGCCACCTTCGAAGTAGCAGTTTTCGAAAAACTGGGTAGATACAGGTAGTCCTCGACTTACGACCACAATTGAGCCCAAAATTCCTGTTGCTAAGTGAGATGTTTGTGTGGTGAATTGTGCTCCATTTTACGACCTTTCCACAGTTCCTAAGTGAATCGCAGCAGTTGTAACCCAGTTGTTGAGTGACTCGGCCTTCCCCATTAACTTTGCATGTCAGAAGGTCGCAAAAGTCAATCACATGATCCCCAGGTCACTGCAACCGTCATTTATTTATTTATTAGTCCAATTTATATGCCGCCCTTCTCCATAGACTCAGGGCGGTTTACAATGCATTATAGCAATAGCCTGCATACTTTTTTGTATATACCTGCTTATTAGGGCTTTCGGCCCCCCCTAAGCGGTGTTGTTCTATACAAAGTTGGCTTATTGCCCCCACAATCCAGGTCCTCAATTTACCTACCTCGAATGGATGGAAGGCTGAGTCAACCTTGAGCCTGGTGAGATTCAAACTTGCACTAATTGCAGGCAGCTGGCAGCTAAGTGCTAGCTCTTAACAGCAGTTTAGTCCACTGCACCGCCAAGGCTCTTAATACTCATCATAAATACGAGTCAATTGCCAAAGCGTCCGAATGTGCATCATGTAACCATAGGGATGCTTGCAAGTGTAAAAAACGGTCTTAAGTGAACTGTTGTAAGTTGAGGACGACCTGTATAGGCAGTATAGGGCCAGAAGAATAACAGATTTGCAGCCCAGGTGAAGTAATTTTTTTTGAAAGTTGAGTGATAACAGTGAATAAAAATGACTTCACACACATATATATACAAACAGACTTTAAAATCCCACTTCCCACAAGCATCTGCAGGAACTTACTCTTCTTGTAAGAATAATAGGAGTTGTGTCCTGCCATAAGGTTTTTGCAAACCTCTACGAAAGGGTTGGGCCTTGTCTCATGAGATTGCAACAATGCTTTCATTATTTTGCACCCTTCCTGCAGATGCCACTTTCTGGTTCTTTTTTAATTCTCATTTGCATCCAATCTCCAAATCACAAAACCTTTTCCTTAACATTTGATACTCCTTTCTTCGCCCCAACGAGGCTTTCTTCCTGACAAGAGCCTGTCTATGAAAACATACAAGTTTCCTATTCACTTACAGGTAGTCCTTGTTTAACGATCACAATTGGGATCGGCAACTCGGTGGTTAAGCGAGGCGGTCACTATAAGTGAAACTGACTGTTTACAACCACAGCAAAGAGCAGAATTTCCGTGGCTAAGCTGAGCAGTTGTTCAGTGAGCCACACTCACTTTTACAATTTTTTTTTTTTTTTTGGCCGTGGTGGGTAAGCAAATTGTTGCAGTTCTTAAGTGAATCACGCGGTTGTTAAAACGAATCTGGCTTCCCCTCCTGATTTTGCTTATTGGAAACTAGTTGGGATGGTTGCAAATGGCAATCAAAAGACACCAGGGAGCCACAACCATCATAAATATATGTCGGTTGCCAGGCGCAAAAATGTTGATCTTGTGATCGGGAGGATATTGTGACAATTGTTAAGCGCAACAAATGGTCGCTATTGTACCTTTGTCATTAAACAGATGATTGTAAGTCAAGAACTACCTCTATTCCAGTCTGACTTCCTATTTTCCTGACCACATCAGTGCAGTGGTGAAATCTAAAATTTGTTACTACCGGTTCTGTGGGCGTGGCTTGGTGGGGGGGATGTAATGTGACTGGGTGGGTGTGGCCATTTTTTTTTTAAAACCATTTTTTCTACAACCTCTTCGGCGAAGAGGTTGTAAAAAAATGCTTTCAAAAGGCTCTGACGATCCCAGCTGAGTTGCCTGATCGGCAGACTTTTTTTCTTTTAAATGCCTCTGACGATTAGGTAACTCAGCTGGGATTGTCAGAGGCTTTTAAAAGAAAAAAAGCCTCTGGCGATCAGGCAACTCAGCTGGGATCGTCAGAGGCATTTAAAAGAAAAAAGGTTTTTTTTTCTTTTAAAAGCCTTTGAGGATCCCAACTGAGCCGCGCAATCATCAGGTGTTTTTTTTTTTACTTTTAAAAGCATTTTTTCGGCCGAAGAGGTTGTAGAAAAAATGCTTTTAAAAGTAGAAAAAAGCCTCTGATGATTGTGCAGCTCAGCTGGGCAATGGGGGGGGGGGCAGGGATTTTTGCTACCGGTTCTCCGAACCACCCGCCTCCATCGCTACTGGATCAGGTGATCCGGTCCGAACCGGGAGCATTTCACTCCTGCATCAGTGTCTCTTAAACCCTCAACCCTTGATGCAAACACCATACCCATATGGGGATTTTTCCTACTATATAGTGGGAATGCCTCAAAAGAGAAAGACTAAGGTAATGTCTTGGTAATTCAGACACTCTTTCTCAGCTATAATGAAATCTGAATTTGAGACTAGAAATATCATTACTTGGATATGCAGCGTGCATGTACGGTATCTCTATTTTTTCTTAAAATCAGGTATGTCGTCTACACTCAGGATTCAAACTTCCTAGCTGACTCATCTTTTATCCGGACAAGGCTCTGGGTATAACCTGTGTGGCATCACCAATTTGAACATCAAATGATATGGAAACTGCCAAACTGATTCATGAGATCATAGGAACAGCCATTATGCCCTCTTAAGGATAAGGTTGTTATTCCTGGGTTGCAAAGTGGGCAGCGACCAGTAGATGTCAGCAAAGAGTTAGTTTAGAAATGGTGTCTCTTTGCTGACATTTAGTGGCTGTTCGTATTTTGCAGCCCAAATACTGCAATCTTCATTGAGAGATGATCTTCCACATTTAAATTGCACAAAGATTCTTGGGGTTTTTTGTTAGGATAATGAGTAAACATCTCTGCACTGCATGCAAATCTACTCAAGTAGTTTATCCAGCTGCCTAAGCCGCACTTACAACATAGCCAGCTTTCAATGGTATCCAAGATCGACCTAGGGAGGGAAATTTCCAAATTTCACAGAACTCAGTTATATTTAAATACCACAAAAAAGACAGCCAGATAAATTAAAACTTAAGTGTTAACAAAAAGCAGCACCAGGAAAGCTACTATCAATAGGGTTGTGTTTTTTTTTTTAAAAAAAAAACCACATCTTTTTAGATGATGTACAGATGCTTCATATCACACACTCGTTTATTTGGAAAGCTGTTTCAGAGGTAGAAACCGGGAAATTATTTTATCTGGATTCAGTTCATTTTTTTAAGAATAAAGGGATATATCCTTGTAAATCTCTTTTTTAAAAAAGTTTTAGGTATAAATATCTTCTGCAAACGAATAGAAAAGCAAAGTTGGGGACAGTTCCAAGTTTTAACCTAACGGGTAGTGTGTCATTCCTCTGGCTTTGAAAATCCAGAAGACAATTCCAAATATTTGCAAGGTGACTCTTCTTTGCATTTCCTAAATTGATTGTCCCCGAAAGCTTGCACACCAATTTTCACCAAGCTTAATATTTACAAAAATCTTGCCTTTTTACATATGTCCATCTAGGAGGCTATATTCTCTCAAGAGTTCCAAGGCCACAAGATTATGGCTACTTCTGCCTCCGAAAAGTCCCTTATCCTCATTGACTCAGGAACAGTCAAGCTGTATTATTTACAAGCTATGATACAAACTGAGCCATTCTGCTCAGCCGTGTAAAGTGTCCCATCGGAACAGTACGATAGGGAGTGAAATTATTTAGGAATTCAGAATCTGAACAAGTTGATAAAGTCTTGTGGCGAAAGAGCAGTCAAGCAGCTTTCTGGATTGTTAGCCGTACAGGGGTGATCAGTGCCCTACAAAACAAGAACATCAAAATCCTTAAAAGTTGTATCCGGTAGTTCGATCAGCACCAGAAGGACAAATAGCACACTAAATGCTCATCAACTCATTCATCGATCATATTAAGATATGCAAAGTTGGTTTAAATTCACCTCCTTTTTATTTGATTTTTTTACTCTTTATTACTTTATAAACAACTTAAGGCAGCGAATATACATACTCCTCCCTCCTCCTATTTTCCCCACAATAATAATAATAATAACTTTATTGTCATTGTACATGTATACACAGTATACCCATACAATGAAATTTACCTAACACCCAAAGACCAGGTCCAACACACATAACAATCCCCAAACACACCCCCACCCACCACAAATTCCCCACCCCTAAACCACCCAAACATCCACATAACTGACCACATAATGCTGTCCAACAGCTCACTGATGGTGGCCCTTTAGTTCATTGTTGAGTGCAGTTATAGCTCTGGGAATCTTATATAACAATCCTGGGAGATGGATTGGGCTGAGAGTGAGTGACTGGCACAAAGTTCCCAGCCAGCTTTCATGCCTAAGGCAGGATTAGAACTCACAGTCTCCTGGTGATTGGCCCAAAGACATCCCACCTGGCTTTCTTGCCTAAGGCAGCACTAGAACTTACAGTCTCCTGGTTTCCCTTATTAATGGAACATTTAGAATATGTATAGCTGAGATAAGAAACATAGTGCCTTCGCATACCAGAGCATTTATTAATCTACCCAACATTATATGAAATTTAAATCTTTTTTAAATGGCCTGAAAATCCACAAGATTGCTAAAATTAATGAATTACGTAGACAAAACAAAATCCCCGCCTCTACAGTGTATTTCAGTGGAACAAGACAAAATGGCCACCTACCTTCCATGAAAGGATATGGCAATGTCTACAAAGCTGCAAAGTATCTCCATATTGCTCTTTCCGTGGATAACATCTCACAAGCTTGAAGTACATCTTCTTCCAATCCAACTGCCCTTTATCTGACAATATTAGCCGCTTGCGTATCTAAAACAGAGATGAAGCCACAAAATTACAGATTTGCAAAAGTACACGGAGATATGGCTAATGGTATGGTCATTCTGCAAGAAGAGAACCCATGAAGAAGTAAGTATGAGGGAATGCATGCTGCCTTAAAACAGTAAGTGTGGATGTGACAAGTCTTAAAATTAAAAATGTCGGAACAGGATAGCAATAGAATTTAGACTTATATACTGCTTCATAGTGCTTTTACAGCCCTCTCTAAGCGGTTTACAGAGTCAGCATATTGCCCCCAATAATCTGGGTCCTCATTTTACCCCGCCTCAGAAGGATGGAAGGCTGAGTCAACCTTGAACTGGTGAGATTTGAACTGCCGAACTGCAGCTAGCAGTCAGCTGAAGTAGCCTACAGTACTGCACTCTAACCACTGTGCCACCTCGGCTCCATAGGATGAGTAGAGGTCAAGAATTAAGAAGAAATAATAACTGGAAGCATCTACAAGGTGTTCCTTCTCCAAGAATGGTGTAGAATTAGAAAAAAAGTCCTTAATGAAGGGCATGAAGGAAATGAAACATTTAAGAATAAGCTGCATGCCATCATTGCTTGGTGGACAACAATTTGCCCTCAAGGAAAGCCTCCAAGGCAAGTTAGTGTCCAGGTGTGATAGGCCACCTTGGTTGAATAAGCTTCATGATTAATCAAGAATGGATGGTGGACTAAGGATGATTCCGATTCATTTTCTCTATATTTCTTTGGAGCTTCCACAATATTACTTTCCACTGCCGTTTACCTGTCGGTCTGTGAAGTGGTAGTGGCAAAGTTTTTTCCAGAGGAGTCGATCTTCACTGAGCACCTGAAGACTTGGCGTCACTTGCCCAAGACTCACGATGTCTCGCCCATCTGACAGCCGTTGCATGATGTCTAGTTGTAAACACAAGGGCAGGTCTGTGAAAGTGAACCCTTTGAAGTCAGGCTGGAGAAATAAAAGGGAGAAAAAGAGAATGGGTGACCACACGGAAAGATACCGAGGTTTCCATGCAACTTGTAAGAACATTCACCTATTTTATTAAAGTTGCCTTCAAGTTGGAACTGACAACCTTAGGTCTTCAGAACAGATTCTTCAGGTGGTATTGAAAAGATTTGCCGTTATTTGTTCTTTCCAGAATATTTTCTTTTTTTCAATTCCCCACCTAGCCTATAGCCTTAGACTTCTTAAATGGTGCCCATTCAATAACTCTGATAACTGGGCTTAGCCTTCTACATTAACCAAGGCCAAGTACAAGTATTAGCTCACTTAACAACCCTAACCAGGTCTGGTATTTCCATTGCTAAGCAAAGTGGTCATTAGGTGAAACATCACACGACCTCACTGCTAAGCAACAACAGTTCTGGTAGTCTTGGTTGCAGTCGTTAAGTGAGGACAGTGACATCATTAGGTAAGGACTCACCCCTCTCTTGTGCTGCCACCTGGGAATGGGTAGGAGACAGAGTGCAGGGCAGCCGAAAGGGAAGAGATGGGGGGAAGATAGGCAAGACGGGGGAGTTAAAGTACATGCTACAGTTGTAAATGCGGGCAGGATGCCAAGGTCTGAATTTTCATCATGTGACTGCAGTAGAAGTTAAAGTAGCTGTAACTTCAATGGCCACTTCTAACTACCATTCTTTCAGTGTCCTTGTAACTTTGAATGAATGCCGAACAAATGATCATTAAGTGAACCAGTTCGGTGACGTCATATCGTCAACGCTACTGGCTCGGGAGAACCGGGCCAAACCGGGAGGAACCCACCACTGATCTGCAGGTAGATTTAACTCTGCTTATAGATTGTTGAATCTATACAGCTTTAGGAAGTAACCCAATAGCAGCTCTTTGATCAGCTGGTCCAAAAGTCAGTCCCTTTGCTCACCTTGGTGATCTGGATATTGTTCAGCTGCTGCTGCCAATAAAGAATCATCTCCATTCGGTAGACCCACATGTTTATGTTGCCAACCAGAACAGACTTGCCAACACTCTGGACCAAGGTGCAAAGTGACATGTACAAAGTCTGCAGCAATTCTTTTATCAGTCTGATATTCTGTTGATCCTCCAGAACTTTATGGGGGAAATGAGAGAAAAAGGGACATTCAGATACAGGCGAAGAAGAAAGAAGCCAACAAACTAAAGAAAAGTCATTTTCTTCTGGAGGGCCACAGAGAAAGTTCAGTTTTGCTTCTCGCCCTTCGCTTCCAGGGCTATGCAAAGGAATGTTTCGGCGTTTCCATCAGGCATGGGCTGCTGGGGGTTCACAGGGGTTCGGGAGAACCTCTAATTAAGATTCTGTGCAGTTTGGAGAACCCCCAAATCTCACTCCGGGCTGGCCCTGCCCACCCTGCCCTGCCTTTCCCAGGAGTCCCCATGTGGCCCATTTTCAATGTAGGTAAGTGCAGGGCACGCACAGAGGCTTCAGGAGGGCGAAAAACGGGCCTACCGGAAGTTCAGGAAGGCCAGAAACGGGGCTGTTTCCGGCCTCTGGAGCCCGGGGAGGCCATTTTCGCCCTACCAGAGACTGCAGGAAAGCCTCCGGAGCCCGGGGAGGGCAAAAATGCCTCCCCCCCCCCACCATGGTGCAGGAGGCCAACTAGGCCATGAAACTGCCTTGCAATTATCCCACAGACTTAACAAGAATTAGAAATGTAGGGAACACTATGAGCCACCCTGAAGTTGACCAGTGCGGCTGATCTTCACAAGACCTTAAACAAAGTTATTTTTTTATTATTATTTGGGGCCTTTCTGCCTTGAGTGATAAACCGAATCTCCATTACCTCCTCCTATCTCAAAACCTGTCACCGCTCTGAAGTGTGAGACACATATATAACGGTTATCACTCTTGCAAAAGACAGACTGCTACGACATTCACACAGGGTTGGGAGGAACAAGGCAAAGCGATTTGACTCATCCATGTCATTTTTCATCCTTCTCTAACTGGTGTCTTCCATTTGGATTACCACCAGTTATGCTGCTATATACAGTAGTGGCCAAAATTGTGGAACCCTTTTGGAAAAAGTGTATTTTTGAGGTTTGATGGCTAATAACACCAATTATTTTATTTTTTTTTCAGTTTCAAGATAATCATATTCCACTGCTGGAATGGTCTGGGAATAGCCCAGACCTTAACCCAATTGAAACATCTATGGAGTCGACTAAAGAAAGTTGTTGGTCAGAAGCGACCCAGCAATAAAACCCAGTTAATGGAAGCAATCATTCAATCTTGGTTTCACATGATAACAGCTGCAGAACTAAAAGACTGGGTTCACTCCATGGGAAAACGCTGTAAGGCCATAATTCATGCTAAAGGTTACCCAACTAAGGATTAACTGACGTGATAATGTTTGTATATCTCGTTTTTTCTATGGTGATAATTTTTGTATATCTCATTTTTTTCTACGTGTTTCACTTTTCTACGTGTTGCACTTTATACTGCACCTGCTATTCTAATAGCAAATCCTTCATAAAAGTTATTGCATTACATTCTTGATTAAATTATCTTTCCATTGATATTTAATTGTATGGTACTACTCCCAAAAAAAAAAATGATGTTATTAGCTAGTTTTAGAAAATACACTTTTCCCAAATGGTTTCCACAATTTCGGCCACTATTGTATAAAGGAGGCCGGAAGGAGATTGGAGGACATCATATTGACAAGAATTGTTATTACTGTATATTGCATTTTGTAGGATTTAGTTCCACCTCTCAATTTAGCAAGAACTGGTCCAAAATCAAAGACCTAAACCCAGCCAGATTATTTGCTAAATTAATGTACTAGAGGTCAGCCTGTTTTTTTGGAAAGTCAATATTCCACCTTTTCTATGTATATATACCCATACCTTTTTGCACAACTTTCTCCAAGATATTCATAAAGTTTTTCTGCGCAATCCCGCTCAGTGATGTCAGCTGAGACTTTGCAATCAGCTCCAACAACTGTGAATAAAAATAAGACATTCAACCTTTTGAGCACTTCTAATCTGGGTTTTCTTCTCATGTGACCCAGCAAAAATTGTTTTAGTTATTTGCTGCTCGACTTAAAAAAAAAAAAAAAAGGATTGGAGCCAGACAGAATTATGGGAAAAGGCAGATGCAAGATTTAAAATAATTGCAATCTATTGGCTTCTTTTGGTAGGTTTACTTAACCAAGCCAAGTCATTAAAACAGAGGACAAAGATAGACAGATGGCTGACATTTAATCTGTTTAGAAATATACATGAATCTACATGATGGCAGTGAGAGAGAGCCAAAAGTCCTCTCCTCCCTTCATGTTATAAAAAATGTGCATACGCTTTTCAGTTGTACTTTCAACGGTAGACATGGCAGCAAAGTGGTATCAATGACTGGTCAACTCCTGTTTGTCATTCTGCCCAATTCTTGAATGACAATGGAAGACACATGGGATGTTCTATTAATATCTTCCATAGGCACATGACTGATAATATAAACCCAGGGAGCTGGGAAAACAGTCACAGCTAATTGGCTAATCTGCCCAATGCCGTCTAATCAACTTAATCTTTATGAATCACCAGGGACTTGACAAAAATAAAATCAAATGCTCACACTCACAACTGTGTGCTTTCGAAGCCCCACAGGAAATCACAGTCCTGACCAAGAATGCTTTCTCATATACATTTCTACCAGGGGTGAAATCCAATTTTTTCCCCTACAGGTTCTGTGGGCGTGGCTTGGAGGGCGTGGCAGGGGAAGGATATTGCAAAATCTCCATTCCCTTCCCTCCTGGGGGAAGGATATTGTATAATCTCCATTCCCACCCCACTCTGGGGCCAGCCAGAGGTGGTATTTGCCAGTTCTCCGAACTACTCATAATTTCCACTACCGGTTCTCCTGAACCTGTTAGAACCTGTTGGATTTCACCTTTGATTTCTACTCATTTATATCTAAACTGGGCACGGTCTAAGACAAGAGCACGCACAACTCAAGAACATGTTGACTGCCATGCTCCAGGAAAGGTGGAAGAAAGCCCCATTTTTGGATGAAGGCAGAACATACATGTTAAAGGACAAAATAGCTGCTGTAGGTCTCTCTCTTGGATATGGTGGTTTAAATGCTCTGTAAGCTATTTTGAGCCATTTCAGGCAGAAAGAGTCATTTTACAAATACTCACTCACTGAAAGGCAAAATAGGAAATATCCTCTCCCTGAATCCAGGAGAAACCACATTATGACATTGTAATAACCCTGGAGTGCACACTTTGTGACATCATCCCCAAATGATGAATACTGCAAGTTCGAATCTCACCAGGCTCAAGGTTGACTCAGCCTTCCATCCTTTCAAGGTAGGTAAAATGAGGACCCGGACTGTGGGGGCAATAAGCTGACGTTGTATAAAAGAGAACACCGCTGGGGGGGGGCGAAAGTCCTACTAAGCAGGTATATACAAAAGTATGAAGGCTATTGCTTAACGCATTGTAAGCCACCCTGAGTCTCTGGAGAACGGCGGCATATAAATTGAACCAATCAATCAATCAATCAATCAATCAATAAATAAATACTGTAATTGCATTTTCCCTTGCTGTTGATGTCAAACTGTAATGACTTCAAGTAAATGATGACACTGCATTCCTGCATCACGATATCTTAAAACCATGACATAAAATCATGAGAAGGATGTAAATTGCAGAATCTGGATGACCTCGTCATGCTACGTGTTATCATTTACCCCCGTATGTCCTCCCTCCGTGGATAACCAACTGTTTCATGTATTTGCTTTCTAGTTATGTTTTTGGGTGGCCAAATCGAACTTAATAGTTAGATTATCTATAGCAGTCATCCCCTCCACTCTTGCAGCCATCCTGAAGTTACCCTGTCTGACTATCATTCCAAAAAATGATCTATCACAAATTAGTATATTGAAAATAGAACAAAGCTTTGGGTTTATACACTCTGCCATTCCATCTTGGCTGCATGAAGCAATTTGGAAGGGCTTGGTTTCAAGATGTATTAATTACAGCATGAGGTGCTTTTGAAACTAGGCAAGTGTGAGGCACAAAAGCTCAGGACCACACATGAAGTTCCAATTAAACTGATTTATTACTAAACGTGCTTATGCACAAGAATCTACTCAACTGAAAGATAAGGATCAACGGAATTAAAGACAGGTTGGACTTAGTCTTTTTGTGGCTACGTAGAGGTTCTAGGCTGATTGCACATTTGACTCCACCTCCAGGTTCTGCCATTCCTTCTCCTACAGCAGGAGTCGGCAACCTTAAACACTCAAAGAGCCACAAAGGTCCTAACCGAAAGCCCCCATTCAATTCTGGAGCCGACCAGAAGTCCGGTTCCCCCATCATAGTCTCCTCCTAGCACGGCGTCCTTTTTCCTCTGCTGACCGGAAGTCCAGTTCCTCCACCATAGAGTCTCCTCCTAGTATGGCATCCTTTTTCCTCTACCTGTCCTAACCGAAAGCCCTATCAATTGTGGAGCCGACCAGCAACAGGGAGCTGCAGCAGAGGGATGAAAGAGCCACATGTGGCTCCAGAGTCGCCGGTTGCTGACCCCTGTCCTATAGTATAGTAAAATTTGACAAAACATGTACCAATTGGTCTCTCCTCCTATGAATAGTTGCAGTGAACAATCGTGATTTCAACAGCTGCCACGAAATTTGAAAAGCAGGTTGTGGCCGATCCTCTAATATTTATGCCCTTCCTTTTTTCTTCCTACCAAGTCTACTTAAAAACAAAAGTAGTAAATCAGGTTTTTTTTTTTTAAAAAAAATGTGTAGCTCTTCTAATTGATTTGTCTGAAAATTTAAAATTCAGTATGATGTGCCAGAATATACCATGCCGGTTCTCCAGGAAACGACTTCAATAAAGGACCACCACATTTTCTGCCTTTGGTTGGTTCTTTTGCAACGAGCAGTTAACTCAGGTTTATTTAAATTCAAGAAGAACGTCCTTTTGCACACGGACATACATTTTATACGTCTAGCTTGAACATTTGCTAAATCGAATTTTGGAGGCGTTATGGATTTATTGCAGACTGTCAGCCAGGGTTTCTAGCAATAGGTTGGGTGGACCTCACAATGAATTCAATAACCCATCATTAAACAAATCCTGGCTTAGAACAGTTGCAGACTCATTCTGAGACAAAGGTGCCAGTCTGCCTCTTCTTTCAACCAGTTTATAATCGACACGTTAGGAATTATTTTACTTAGCTGGTTGGTGTACGATTCAGAGAGAAGTCACAAGAGCCCCTGGATTGTTTTTGACTGATAAATGAAAAGCAGCTGAGTCTTTGTTTGCAGTTCCTGATCTAACAACATATAACTGGCTCCCGAACTATGACCAAAAGGCTGTATATCATCTCTTTGTTTGTCTGGAGTGAAGCACTTGACTTGACTGGTTCTGGCAACCTGCCAGCCACAACTTTCTCCTAGAAGTGAAAAGCTAAAGCAGTCGACAACAATGACTAAGCAGGATGACAGTTATGTGTAAACAGCTTTGACCTGCCAGCTGGCTTTCCTACAACATTCAATTCAGGGAGGTGGGGGGGGGATGGAAACATGGGAGAGCATAACAAGAAGAGGCCAGAACTAAAATTGAGACTCAAGTCAAAGGGGGCAAACAGGTGCTGGTCGGATTTAGGACCAGGAACTATTCTGGAACAGAGACTTATTGGAGCAAATGATGGCATGTACTTCTGTGATTCGATAAACCGTATTACTAAACCCAGATGCTCTTGAGCTTTCAGCTATTAAACAGAAGTTATCAGTAGCTTTTGAAATTTCTTTTTTGTAAAAGGTTTAAATTAGCCTTCCCTAGCCTCCAAATTTGCCTTCCAAATTTATTGGGATTTTCCCCCCTCCAGAATTCCCATCCAGGGTGGAAGTTGTAATTCCCAACCAATCCAGGAGGTTAGACTGGATATTTTGTGTTCTTAAAAATAAAGCCTCCCACTAATTCTCTTGGGTTTTAAACTGATCACTGAAAATAGCCTTTTGTACTCCACAAGGCTTGCAATCAAGTCTTCACACATGCAAACAATTCCTTCAAGGCTACTTCTTGCCCGTCTTTCATGTCTAGCTTCACCCAACATGTTTGACTTGTTGAATGAATCAATGATTTAGATCCAGACAAAATATAGCATTGAACCACAAATTAAGCAACCAAGCAAACTTATTACGCTGTGTGAATGCAGCCCTAAAATGCAGCTGTAATTGACCTGCTAAAGCAAGCTGTGTGATCTCACCCAGGGACAAGTCCATCTCTACTGCCAGGGACAGTAGAGTTGTTGTAAACGACTATCCCAGGCAGAGGTGGGTTCCAGAGGTTCTGACCAGTTCTGGAGAACCAGTAGCAGAAAGTTTGAGTAGTTTGGAGAACCGGTAATAAAAATTCTGACTGGCCCCGCCCCCATCTATTCTCTGCCTCCTGAGTCCCAGCTAATCGGGAGGAAATGGGGATTTTGCAGTAACCTTCCCCTGGATTGGGGAGGGAATGGAGATTTTACAGTAACCTTCCCCTGGAGTGGGGTGGGAATGGAGATTTCACAGTATCTTCCCATGCCATGCCCACCAAGCCACGCCCACCGAACCGGTAGTAAAAAAAATTTGAAACCCATCACTGATCCTAGGTCATAAAATAAATGGAAATTAGATAGATGGATGGATGGATGGATGGATGGATGGATGGATGGATGGATGGATGATAGACTGAGAAAGACAGAGGGAAGGATGACACTTGTATCAGATCTGCATACACATTTTATAACTACCTCATCTTAAAAGCTATAGTTTACTGATTCTTTATCAGTGTATTTAATTTAATTTTACTCTAATCTGTGGCTCTCCTGAAGACAAAAACAACCACATCTGAATGAACTGCTTCAATTGAATAAACTAAGCTTTGACACTCACCCGAACAACATAGTTGAACCTTCTGGAATCCAGAATAGCATTAGAGAAATCCAGTCTATTGAAAGCTTCTCCCAGGGTGCAATAGCCATGGCGCTAAAGTAGAGAATGAATTACATGAGTGATTTCTTTCTATTCTGATTAGAACCAAAAAGGGTTGACGGTCTGGAATTAGATCTGTAGAACAACTGAGTATGGTTGATTTCAAGGCTGAGAGGTCACCAGGATCTCGGCTTTCATTAAAGTTAACACTAAGAGGGGTTTCCAAGGCAGCAATCATAGGGGAAGAATCTACCTTTCTACTGGAGATTTCTTGGCCTGGATCTGCTGGACTTCATGGCGCATCCTTTCTTTGCAGGACTTAGAACTGTCATGCTGCAGAAATGATGCTTTCATTTTATTTTATATTACATAGTTAAATGCCCATAAAAGGGATCATGAGGGAAAGTGGATGAGTCCAAATTAAGCAAATGGACAAGACCAAGATTTTCCATTTTCTTGGGCTCATGGGAGATCATTTTTAAAACGTGTTTGCTATGCTTATGATATGTCTTTCCCGCCTCAGCACTGAAGGAAAATATACCATCAATTTTGAGCAATCATGATCTGGGGAGCTTTTAAGATCACCAAAGGTTTATTCTTCCAAGCCCTTAGATGAAGTACGTCTGCTCTTTCTCAGTTCTAATTTGAATGAGTACATTCTGAAGCAATGTTTCTAAATTCTCAGCAACTTTAAGATGTGGGACTTCAACTCCCAGAATTCCCTAAGCTGTAGGAGAATTCTGGGAGTTGAAGTCCTCGCATCTTAAAGTTGCTAAGATGGGAAACATTGGTCTAAAACAGGGGTGTCAAATTGGTGGCTTGTAGACCGGATGCCATGCCCACCCCCGGTTTAGCAAAGCGGGGGGAAGTCGCGATACGTCACATGATGACAATGCGACACCACGAGTTTGACACCCCTGATCTAAAACAAGGATGTCCAACCTTGGCAACTTTAAGATCTGAGGATTTCAACTCCCAGAATTACTCAGCCAGCCAGTCAAAAACCAGCACTTTTAGTAAAATATACCCATATTACAACATTGTTAAAGTAATGTAGTCCATGTTATTAACTGCATTTGATGGAAACAATGACAGAAGAGATGGGAAATTTATTATTCAAGCAAAATTATTATTTGTTTAAAATAATGACAGGTACTCACTTCTTTGGTGCTTCCCTTGTGTACATAAATCCATTTTTCTTGGTGAAAATCTGTTCAAACAAAAAATACATTCTATTTAAACTCATACAGGCATTAATACTTTGTACTCAGAAATTATGTTAGCCCTTCGGCCCAGGGGTGAAATCCAGCAGGTTCTGACAGGTTCTGGAGAACCTGTAGCAGAAATTTTGAGCAGTTCGGAGAACTGGTAGTGAAAATTTTGAGTAGTTCGGAGAACCAGCAAATACCACCTCTGGCTGGCACCAGAGTGGGGTGTGAATGGGGATTTTGCAATATCTTTCCCCCAGGAGTGGGGAGGGAATGGGGATTTTGCAGTATCCTTCCCCTGGAGTGGGATGGGAATGGAGATTTTGTAGTATCCTTCCCCTGCAACGCCCACCAAGCCACGCCTACAGAACCAGTATTAAAAAAATTTCCCACTGCTTCAGTCCCATCTGGATTTTTACGAACACCATCCTTCCCTCTCCCCCCCCCAGCTATGGATACCCCTGTTTTTAAGAAACAAAAACAGGGGTATAAAAACTCCAGTTCAAACATTCAGGGTTGTAAAAAGTTGAGTTCAGTTCACTGGTGGGAAAGAGAGGGGACATCTCTGCCAAATACAAATGACGACAAGGTCAGTGCAAAGGCATTACACACAGAGCAAAGTTTCAAATCCAAGTCATCCATCTTCACATTGCAATGAATCCAAGTTCTCTGGTTAAGGTCAAAATCCGAGTGCAAAATCTCTCCAGAAACTTCTGGAAGAGTTGCAAAAAAAAAAACACCATTTCATGGTGGGAGAAATATGTTCTTTTCTCAGTTCCCCCTCCAATTAAAGTTGTCTCTCGTTAATTTGATATTCTGATGTGTTTCTATAGGTCATGTCTGACTTACACTGAATCCTGGTCTTATTGTTCAGCTGGTCCTTCTTTCGTTTTTTTGCAGCCACATCGCAGTTCAGGTTGTGGAAGATGTTCTCCTTGTTGAATTCTTCTTTCCAGCAGTAACTGGAAATGACACAAGAAAAGGGGAAAAGATCTTGAATCTCTTACACATTTGTCTTCATTAAGACTCCTCTACCGTTTCCTAAAAAGGAGTTGGAGTAGAAACATAAAGAATTATGTTGACGTACAGTATGTCCCAAAACTGCACTGGATGGCAGCCTCTTCTAAAAGACCAGAGGGAATTATTTTTCCTAGAAATAGTTGCTAACCCACAGGAAGGTTAGTTGGAAACCATTATTATTATTATTTTTTTTAAGTTTGATTTATATGCCGCCCTTCTCCGGAGACTCAGGGCGGCTTACAATGCGTTAAGCAATAGCCTTCATACTTTTGTATATTTATACAAAGTCAGCTTATTGCCCCCACAAACTGGGTCCTCAATTTACCTACCTTAGAAAGGATGGAAGGCTGAGTCAACCTTGAGCCTGGTGAGATTTGAACTTACAGTAATTGCAGACAGCTGGTGTTAATCACAATGCTATCAGTCTGCTGAGCCACCAGGCCCTCCATAATTAATAATCATGGAGTCAGAAAACAGTGGTGGGTAGATGATGCCAGCCTTGCAGAATTGCCTCACTCTTCAAATGGACACCCCACAACTACAAACTTTCCTCAATGATGGCTTCTTTCCTCTAAAAAATTCATGTCCAAGGTAGCTGGGATCCCATTCTTCTGATTGTTCTTCTGTTCCAGATCTGTTCCAGATCAAACTATAGGTCTGGATCTACTCTATATTCAGTGTTCTTAGGCTGTGGTTTGGTGTAGTAATTTAAGGCACTAGACTAGAAACAGGAAGATAATCCCACCTTGGATATGAAGCCAACTGGGTAAGTTTGGGTCATTCATTCTCTCTGACTCCTATAAAGAATGCTACTGCCGACCACAACTGAAAATGTTATCAAGAAATCTGCAAGGACCTGTCCAGGCAAGACTGAATCAAAGGCATTCACAGCTAAGATCCTACTGAAATCAAAGGGCATTTTTAAATTATTATTTCAATTCCTTTATTGCATGCCAGCAGTTTTTAGTCTCTTCATCAATCTGATACCCTCTAGGGGTGTGTAGGCTGAAGGTAATAGGGCTTGAATTACAATACATCTGGAAAAAGCCAAATAAAGGTTGGTTCTAAGATTTATTTGAAAGAGTTGTTTACATATATGCTACATTAATCTGAAATGCATTTTACAGTTCGGTTTTATCTTTACAGTCCCAGTTTATCAAGCAAAGAAGATTAAGAAGGATTTGTTTACATCATTCCTTCTTGTTTATGATCTCTAGTCTTTCAGGTTTTTCCTTAACACAACTTTTATCGGTTCTATCTTCCTTCCCTTAAGCAAAGGAGTTTCTTCCTCAACAATTATGTGTCCCTTCTCTTCCTCTTCCCTTTTCTTTCCTTGAAGCTTTTCTTGTTTTTTGTTTTTTTTCAATTTCTCATCTAATCCTGGAATTTCCTACCGGTCTCCAAATACTAACCCTGATTTGCCTTTTTTTTCCCCCAGAGTCAGCCATGTTGTGGTAGGTGTTATCATCTGGTATGAGCCAGTATCACCCAGAATAGATATCACTGATTTGGTCGTCCCATGACCTGACTCAGTGACTGGTCTCCTGAAATAACAGTTCTGCATCTATTCATTACACTGAACCAAAAATTAACCCAGTGGGTTGAGTTTATACAAGACAATAAGCCATTAGTAACTAACCTTGGTTCAAACTACAAATGTAGACCCCAGGTCTAATTGACATAGTTAAATGTATTGTGTGAACAGAGTTAGTAATTGGCAGAACTGAAAGTTCATGTAAACCCCATAATCTTGTCTAGTTACACCATTCTTCTAACATCACCACAGTAGTGATCAAATCAGTGGTGAAATTCAGCTGGTTCTATCCGGATCACGTGACACAGTAGCGCCGGTAGCGGGAGCCTCCGCCCACCCGTGCATGCGTGGAGGAGGCACACACGCTCACATTTACGAACTGGTAGCAAAGGTAAGTGAATACCACCCCTGGATCAAATGCATGGGAGATACCCAACTACCAGGGGTGGGCTTCAAAAATTTCAGCAACCGGTTCTCTGCCTGGTTGCTGGGTGCGCATGGCCATGGTGGGCGTGGCCTAGTCGGCCTCCTGCACCACAATGGGGGGGCATTTTCACCTTCCCCAGGCTCTGGAGGCTTTCCTTGAGCCTCTGGGAGGGCAAAAACTGCCTCCCCCGGGCTCCGGAGGCCCTCCAGAACTTCCAGGAGGCCCGTTTTCCCCCTTCTCCGAGCCTCCGTGAGCGCCCTGCACATCCAAAATGGGCCACGTGGAGACGCCTGGGAGGGGAGGTGCAGGATGGGAGGAGCAGGGCAGGTGGGGCCAGCCAGGGGTGGGATTTGGAGATTCTCCAAACCGGCCATAACGTTAGCTACGGGTTCTCCCGAACCCGGGCTAACCCGTAGCAGCCCACCCCTGCCAAGTACCCTTGTGGCCTATTGGGGGAGAGAGGAAAATCCTTATAGGGGACCCCAGAGAGGTTCCCCAACCTTTGTCTCAATATCACAGTGACATTATGGCAACCAGATCAAGGGCAGCCCATGCAATATATTCAAACTTATAAGAGATTCGACCATTTCTTTTGCAAGTAGGTAGAAATACAAAGTCCATGTACTCTGAGCCCTGGTTTATGCATCAACACCATTCTGTTGCAGTCAGGAAGGAAAAGAAAGTTAAAAGAATTATCTAGAGTTATAAATAAGTTGAACCATAAAGCAGTTCCTGAAAATGCCTCGCCTAGAGAAGGATGCTTCTTGATACAAGATCCAGCTGCCATTTTCTCAACCAAAAAAAAAAACCCAAATGCTTTCTGTAATCATAACAGTCATTAAATAGCAGTTGCACCACAAGACTCATGACCTTTGGGTAATAACCTTGCCTTCCCACTAACCACTTCTTGCTCATTTGATGTCACAACTTCCTGCTTGTGTCACATCTAAGATATATTGCTGATACCTTCAGGCACAGTTACACTCATGGCTCATATATTTACTAATTGCAATTCAGACTTTTTCAAAGGTCTAAAAATACTCCGTTGCAAGCAGGAGATTGCAAGAAGGATGACTGGGGAAAGCAATGTGAAACTAAAGCTGTCTACACATCCAGGAAGAATGAAGATCCAGGAAATTACATTTGATTTAGACTTCTACTTTCAACTGCGCCTTTCTACTCAGAAGTACAGAGGCAAAGACAGAGGATCAGTCCAGTTTGTGCAAATCATGGGAGTACAAACTGATTACAGGCAGTCCTCGATTTACAACCACAAGAGAGCCCAAAATTCCCATTACTAAGCAAGACAGTTGTTAAGTGACTTTTGCCCCATTTTATGATCTTTCCTGCCACGGTTCTTAAGCGAATTATTGCACTTGCTTAAGTTAGCTTGCTTAACATGGTTTGTAAGTGAATCTGGCTTCCTCATTGACTTTGCTTGTCAGAAGGTCACAAAAGGTTATCGCATGGCCTCCAGGATGCTGCAAACCGTCATAAATGCATGCCAGTTGCCAAGCTTCTGAATTTGGGTCAGGTGACCAAGGGGATGCTGCAACCATCATAAATGTGGGGAAAAAAAGGTCATAAGTCACTTTTTTTCCCCCAATGCCACTGTAACTTCGAATGGTCACTAAACAAACAATTGTAAGCAGTAGTGAAATGTAAAATTTGTTACTACCAGTTCTGTGTGGGCTTGGTGGGGGGTGGGTAATATGACTGAGTGGGCATGGCCAACTTTTTTTTTTTCTTTTAAAACCATTTTTAAAAGCCTCTGACGATCCCGGCTGAGTTGCCTGATCGGCAGAGGCTTTCTTTTTTTTTTTTTAAAGCCTCTGATGATCTCAGCTGAACCACGCGATCATCAGAAGCTTTTTTTTTTTAACTTTTAAAAGCATTTTTTCGGCCAAAGAGGTTGTAGAAAAAATGCTTTCAAAAATTAAAAAAAAAGCCTCTGATGATTGCGCGGCTCAGCTGGGCAAGAGGGGGGCAGGGATTTTTGCTACCAGTTCTCCGAACCACCCACCGCCATCGCTACCGGATTGGCTGATCCGGTCCGAACCAAGAGCATTTCACCCCTGGTTGTAAGTCAAGGACTATGTGTAACCTCTGGGATTGCAAAAATCATCACAAAATGCAGGATTGTGCACATCGAACACTCCTGGGGTGACTTTTACAGTATTTCAGGGCTAAATGAAATAAAACTATATTTTACGTCAGGCTAACTTTGCAAAAATTCTATTTATAATTGTTTAGCCCTCTGTAGCAACCGTTTTTATTTACACTGCAGCCCTGTTTTATCTCTCTAGTGACAAAGCTGTTATCGTTTTTTTTAAAGTGCTTCTCTAAAAGAAAACAAATAGCTCACCCGTCGCTTGTGCTACACAAAGATATCATGTTCCTGCGTACATCGGTAACAAGATCCTATTCACAATCATTCACAGGCATCTCTGTTGTTGAACCTCCTGGTCAATTTATGGATTTGTATTCAATCTCATTCTTGGTTGTCTGAAGCCAAGACCAAGAATAAGAAGTGGTCTGACGTGCATGGCACAGTAAACTTAGTCATTCGATGGTCTTCCCTTGTGTAGACGAACAGAACACATGACTCATGTTTATATTTAACAGATGGGAACTGAACATCATTCTTCTCAAATTCCCCAAAAGTCTTTAGGACGTTGCTTCATGAAAGGAAAGGGGAAGAGAATGCAAGAAGAGAGATGTTTTCTAGAAAACTAAGCCTAGCTTCTTTTCAGCAACGATCCGAGGTGCCAAAGACAAAGCTTGGGACAGAAATATTAAATTAATTATTGAAGTTAATATTTGTGTTGATATATGAAACTTCAAAATCTGATTCAAAAACCCGGGAAAGATTCTTGCTCAGAGTTTCTGTATATTGACATAGCAATATAAATTCAAAATTGAATGTATTGCACAGGCATACAGTCCGGTAACACGGGCTTTTCTCATTTTCTCTTTGCATA